TTATTTGTCTTTGAGCACTTCTTGTGCACCAATATGCAGACTGCATATAGCTAGTTTGAAAACTTACAGATTTTGATTTGATTTCTTGTGTTTTTTGAACTCCTTGGGGTCTGATTAGTAGGAATAGATCACAACTTGAGCCAAAAGTTTGTATTTGAAAAAGTTGTCTATAGGCCATATTTGCCTCTATGGTCAATATGCAGTAAAAATGTAAAAAATTATTTTCTGTTCTATGGCAGATATTTGAGTTCTGTTTTTTCTGACATGTGCAGATAGTTCATGTGAACATTGGTGCAAAATTTCAGCATTGTAGCTTTGTAAGTTTTGACGCAAAAAATTTATTTGTCTTTGAGCACTTCTTGTGCACCAATATGCAGACTGCATATAGCTAGTTTGAAAACTTACAGATTTTGATTTGATTTCTTGTGTTTTTTGAACTCCTTGGGGTCTGATTAGTAGGAATAGATCACAACTTGAGCCAAAAGTTTGTATTTGAAAAAGTTGTCTATAGGCCATATTTGCCTCTATGGTCAATATGCAGTAAAAATGTAAAAAATTATTTTCTGTTCTATGGCAGATATTTGAGTTCTGTTTTTTCTGACATGTGCAGATAGTTCATGTGAACATTGGTGCAAAATTTCAGCATTGTAGCTTTGTAAGTTTTCACGCAAAAAATTTATTTGTCTTTGAGCACTTCTTGTGCACCAATATGCAGACTGCATATAGCTAGTTTGAAAACTTACAGATTTTGATTTGATTTCTTGTGTTTTTTGAAATCCTTGGGGTCTAATTAGTAGGAAAAGATCAAAACTTGAGCCAAAAGTTTGTATTTGAAAAAGTTGTCTATAGGCCATATCTGCCTCTATGGTCAATATGCATTAAAAATGTAAAAAATTATTTTCTGTTCTATGGCAGATATTTGAGTTCTGTTTTTTCTGACATGTGCAGATAGTCCATGTGAATATTGGTGCAAAATTTCAGCATTGTAGCTTTGTAAGTTTTGACGCAAAAAATTTATTTGTCTTTGAGTACTTCTTGTGCACCAATATGCAGACTGCAAATAGGTAGTTTGAAAACTTACAGATTTTGATTTGATTTCTTGTGTTTTTTTAAGTCCTTGGGGTCTAATTAGTAGGAAAAGATCAAAACTTGAGCCAAAAGTTTGTATTTGAAAAAGTTGTCTATAGGCCATATCTGCCTCTATGGTCAATATGCATTAAAAATGTAAAAAATTATTTTTTGTTCTATGGCAGATATTTGAGTTCTGTTTTTTCTGACATGTGCAGATAGTCCATGTGAATATTGGTGCAAAATTTCAGCATTGTAGCTTTGTAAGTTTTGACGCAAAAAAATTGATTTGTCTTTGAGCACTTCTTGTGCACCAATATGCAGACTGCAAATAGGTAGTTTGAAAACTTACAGATTTTGATTTGATTTCTTGTGTTTTTTGAAGTCCTTGGGGTCTAATTAGTAGGAAAAGATCAAAACTTGAGCCAAAAGTTTGTATTTGAAAAAGTTGTCCATAGGCCATATCTGCCTCTATGGTCAATATGCATTAAAAATGTAAAAAATTATTTTCTGCTTCTATGGCAGATATTTGAGTTCTGTTTTTTCTGACATGTGCAGATAGTCCATGTGAATATTGGTGCAAAATTTCAGCATTGTAGCTTTGTAAGTTTTGACGCAAAAAATTTATTTGTCTTTGAGCACTTCTTGTGCACCAATATGCAGACTGCAAATAGGTAGTTTGAAAACTTACAGATTTTGATTTGATTTCTTGTGTTTTTTGAAGTCCTTGGGGTCTAATTAGTAGGAAAAGATCAAAACTTGAGCCAAAAGTTTGTATTTGAAAAAGTTGTCTATAGGCAATATCTGCCTCTATGGTCAATATGCATTAAAAATGTAAAAAATTATTTTTTGTTCTATGGCAGATATTTGAGTTCTGTTTTTTCTGACATTTGCAGATAGTCCATGTGAATATTGGTGCAAAATTTCAGCATTGTAGCTTTGTAAGTTTTGACGCAAAAAAATTGATTTGTCTTTGAGCACTTCTTGTGCACCAATATGCAGACTGCAAATAGGTAGTTTGAAAACTTACAGATTTTGATTTGATTTCTTGTGTTTTTTGAAGTCCTTGGGGTCTAATTAGTAGGAAAAGATCAAAACTTGAGCCAAAAGTTTGTATTTGAAAAAGTTGTCCATAGGCCATATCTGCCTCTATGGTCAATATGCATTAAAAATGTAAAAAATTATTTTCTTCTTCTATGGCAGATATTTGAGTTCTGTTTTTTCTGACATGTGCAGATAGTCCATGTGAATATTGGTGCAAAATTTCAGCATTGTAGCTTTGTAAGTTTTGACGCAAAAAATTTATTTGTCTTTGAGCACTTCTTGTGCACCAATATGCAGACTGCAAATAGGTAGTTTGAAAACTTACAGATTTTGATTTGATTTCTTGTGTTTTTTGAAGTCCTTGGGGTCTAATTAGTAGGAAAAGATCAAAACTTGAGCCAAAAGTTTGTATTTGAAAAAGTTGTCTATAGGCCATATCTGCCTCTACGGTCAATATGCATTAAAAATGTAAAAAATTATTTTCTGTTCTATGGCAGATATTTGAGTTCTGTTTTTTCTGACATGTGCAGATAGTCCATGTGAATATTGGTGCAAAATTT